CCCCTCCCCCCTCCCCTCGAGGTTCGGCTGCGTTCTGGGGGTGCCCGAATGCAGTTTGCACCTTGGGGGTTCAAAGAGCCAGCTGTCGAGACTGGCAGAACAGAATGCTTTGCAGGAACTGCGCAAAAGTTTCGCGAGGTATTTGCTGTTAAATGCCCAAACGTTTCCAAACTTTCCATTTTTTCCCATTTGGCTAACATTTCTGTTGGCCTCCGCATGTCCTGTTTTTTTTTTTTTTTTTTTCAGTTTGTTGCTTCGCGTTGCGATTAGAGATCTCGAATTGCCTCGTTTCTTTGTTTTATTTTGGGTAAAATATGAGTGCTCACAAGAAACTTTTTTTTCTCTCCCCTGAGTGGAATCTAAATTTAAGCAAGGCCATGTGGATGCAGTAGGACTTGACAAAGGGATATTTATTGCATCGCAACATTTAATTTTTCTTGACTTATTTTATGGTTAAATAATGAAGATTTTTAAAGTGCATACTTGCCCTTCTCTATTGTTAGCAGTGACCCCACTTTGAGACCACGGATTCATTGCCGAGGAGAATTCGATTGGTTTCCTCCTCGCACCATCCCTTCCCTCATTCTGGTCTATCACCAAGTTCTGTTAGAAGTCCCCTGACTGAATTTGTATGTTTCTTTCCACATCCTAGGCACTGACAATTGAGAACAAATTGTAAAGGATTGAAATTACCGTAGCTTGTGGAAGTGGCCTGCGGAAACCTACCCAACATTTATATATGTGAAGGAATTGTATTACCGGTCAACTAAAAAACAGACCCATTAGTTAAAGAAAGGGCCTTGAGTCAAATACTTGGCTGCTAGCCAAGTGTCCTTGGAAGGACATATTCTGTTATCTGCTTTAAAAAAAAGTCAGCCATTGAAAACCCTCTGATGCACAGTTCAACTCTGATGTACACGGAGTATCGCCATAAGTTAGAAAATTGACTTGATGGCAGTAGATTAATAAAAAAAACAAAAAATAGATCCTGGGGTTAAGACAACACATAAGTTGTTGTTTTTTTAATTAAACTCTGAGGTGATCAAAGCTTATACTTGGAAACCATACAAAATATAGTTAACTCTAGATTATTTTCACCCACAAAGGGCTTATAACATGGGTGATCAAACTTCATAGATTAGCTATGTAGCAAGGATAGGACTACATCCTGGCCTTATGAGACTGAGTAACTTGCCCAGGCATGAATTTAGAGTCCACCTCTAACTTCAATAGCAGAAAAAGTCCATTTCTACCCTGACCTCATATTTCTGTTACACTGTTTCTGGCCTAAGTTACTAGGTTGGAAGGAGAACTGTCACTAAGAACAGCATATCACCTTCATTGTTCAGGTCACCAAAAATTCATTATGTTTTGAAAAAGGTATTAATCGTATAGAATGGTGATCAGAACATGGATTACGAAGTTAAGTCCGTTGGGTACATGTCCTAGCTTACCTCTTAATACTGGCTGCTTCCTCAGATAAATACTTTAATTTCTGTCAATAGATTTATTCTTTTGTAAAACAAGGATGAAATAGAGGTGATGTGGGAATTCACTGAAACCATGAATCTAAGAACTTTCTACAGAGTATAGTAAAAATAAGTAGTTTCTAGTTTATAATGTTTTTGAATTATTTGCACCATATTTGAGTTACCATCCTTGTGCTGCTGTTGATTTTGTAAAATATGTTTCATTGTTAGCAATATGTACTTAACATTCCATATGGTGATGTGGAATGTGCAAAAGCATCCAACTGTGTGGATGTTTTGGATAACATTTCAAAGAATGGGAATTCCAGAACACTTACTTGCACCCATGCTGTGCAGAACTTACACTGCAAGATGGTAGTTCCACCAGAACAAGGGGCTATTGTGTAGTCTAAATCAAGAACGGTGGGTGTTAGGGTTGTATCCTTTCACCCTGCTTACTCAGTCTGTGTGCTGAGGTAATCCCAAACACTGGACTATATGAAGAACAACACAGCATCCGGATTAGAGGGACACTCACCAACAACCTGTCACAGAAGTATCACAAAACTTGCTGAAAGTGAAGAGTGCTTGAAGCAATTATTGATGAAGATCAAAGAGTATGGATTACACCTTACCATAAAGAAAGCAGGTTCCTCAGAACTAGGCCAAGAAGTAACATCATAATAAATGGAGAAAAGATGGAAGAGCTCTTTGAAGTGTTAGAAAGTGAGGCTATCGTGTTGAGAACTAAATTGCACCTGATCCATGCCATGGTGTTTTCAAAAGCATTGAAAGGTAGACAATAAGGAAAACTCAAGAAGGATGATTGCCTTTGAATTGTGGTGTTGGTGAAGGATATGAAGTGTGCCACGGATTGCCAGCAGAACAAACCAATCTGTCTTGGAAATACAACTAGAATCAATGCGAGGCTGTATCTCTTGTACTTTGGGCATGTTGTCAGGAGAGACCAGTCCTGGAGAAAGATGCCTTGTTTGGGAAAGTAGAGAGCCAATAGAAAGGAGGAGGACTCTCAGTGATGTGCATGGACACTGGCTGCAACAACAAGGGCGGACAGTAAGGCTTGTGAGGATGGTGCAGAACCAGAGTATGTTTCATTTTTGACTCCATAGGATCCCTATGATTTTGGCTTCAGCGACATCATTCTCAGATGTTCACTTGCAGATGATCAAATAATGGATATTTATAAATATACTGTAAATACAAGGTAATGATAAAGAAATGGGAAAAAAACTGGTATTTGACTTATGTCAGAGCCAACTTACAACAAGCCATTTTAATGGAAACCCGTTAGCTGGAGACACTACTAAAATATTTAAAAATTATTTCTTATTAATATTATCAGATGCTAAATATGATGATAATGAAAGGAATTAGCCAACTAGAATGTAATGCCTATTTTGATGAAGAAAGATTAAGGGAAGGGAGGAAATAAGCATAGCAGTAATTTATGTGAATTTTCCATGTATACAGAGATTTTTTTGAAATATAAGTGGAGACTACATTTCACTGACATAGACTTGATTCTGTAATATTACCTTTGGACTTATTTCTTAATATTCCAGTTCATCCCAACAGCTATAGCTAATGTACTTACTTACCTTCACAAGGTTAGTCTACTGCTCTGAAGTATATGATTCACCATACCAACAAACGCTTCATTGTGTGCTGCCCTTATTTTGGAAAGCCAAGGAGTAAGATAAACACGTTTAAATTACAAGTGTAAGCTTTCAAAGATAAAATAATACTTAGATGTACAGTTGAGTGATGATTACTTTTAGGTTAGTGCTATGTATGAACTATTGGAGCAAATGTCTTACTTAATTTGACTTAAAATTACGTGTGACTATTATATCTATTTTTTTATTTGGTAGGCTTGAGTTTGAAGACGCTGAAGAGCCTGACTTTGTTGCATTGTGTCAGAAATTAAAGCTACCAGATCATGTCAGGGAAAGAGCTTGGTTAACTTGGGAGAAAGTGTTATCTGTGGATAGAGCTTCGGTAAGGATTTTCTTAATATATTAAAAGAAAAGTTTTTCTCATTTTGAAAATAATTTTGAATCAATGTAGAGATATGAAAATTTGAAAATAAAAGGTCATAGTAACTTGCCTTTGATAATAATAAAAATAATTCTTCCTACGTATGTATTCCACCAAAGTATTTTAAAACAAGTCTTAGACTTATAATTTTACTCATAAATGCATCACTGTATGTTTCTATGCTACAAGGACCATAAAAATAACAACTACACTTTCTAAAAGGATTTTTAATATTTTCTTTTAGTCCGTATTCAAACTTCCTGATTGTCTCAGAATCAGTTTTGTTAAAATTCAGCATCTTTGATAATATATTTATTCCTGTTTTTATTTGGATGTGTACATACATAGATGTATAATGTTAATAGTTGTGAGAATTACTTGAGTTGTTTAAGTATGTGGGGAAACCAGGAATTATTGGCCTTGGAATTGATTCTGACTCATAGCAGTCCCATGTGTAAGGAAGTCTTAAATTGCTTTGCAAATAACTTATTTAACAAACTACTTTGTAAATAACTCATTTAACAAACCATTGAGATGAAATTTTTATTTTCAATGTAAAATGTAATTTTATTTCATATGTAAAATCCTTATTTTAAATATAAATATTCTGCATGTACAATGTGAAATGTCCCTTTTACAGATAATGGAACTGAAGATCAGTGAGGGTAAGCAAGTGTAGAACAAGCTACCTGGCCAAAATGATCTCACATAATAGGTTTGAGACTATAGTTATAGTTATATATAAAGTAGGTCTTGCTTTTCTTTTGTTTGTTTTGCTTAACATGTCAGTGTTTTTTGTCAGTAAATATTTTGTGATAAGTTTTTAGTAGTACCATATTTTACTCTTTATAGTTTAATATGTGGATTATTATTGTATATTTTTGTTTTGTCGGCATTTTTATCCAGTACACAATGTGATCATGACCGTTAGGGTCTTGAGGGTAGCCCAAGAATCTGATGTCTAAATAATTTCTGAAGGAGAACCTGATGGAGGACGTGCTGAGAAGAGGGCTGTTGGCAGAATGAGCCTGTTTGCTGGGCATCACCCTAGTGGCAACTGGCCTTCTCCACTGAGACTAGGACGAATAGGGCAACTTAGGAAATACTTCTTTAAAAAAAATTAAATTGTGGTGAACTGAATTTAACATAAAATTTGTCTCTCTTTTTTTAACAAATTAGGGGAATTCAAAAGGTTGTGCACATATCACCATTATTTCAAAAACTTTATCATTGCCTCAAACAGAAGCTTTGCACCAATTAAGCAATAACTTTCCATTGCCACCCCTAGCCCTCAACCTCTGTTTTTTGTCTCTATGACTATGCCTATAGTATTTATTAATTTGTGTCTAGCTTATTTGTTTTAACAGTGTTTTCAGAGTACATCCATAAACTAGCATGTGTCAGAACTTCATTCTTTTTATAATCATTGTATGTATGTACCACATTTTGTTTATCCTTCATTTGTTGATCCTGATTAGAATTTGTTGAGCTGCTTAACTGTGTAACAGTCATATGTCTTATTTCAATAATTGCTGTCATTGCAGAAAGACACACAAGTTACTCCACACAAGATAAAGGTCCGACCCTTATTGTCAGGTGTTGTTGCGTTGGTTACAACCCATAGTGACCCTGTGCACAATGATAGGGAACACTGCACAGGTGTTCCTATACCTAAGCCCATTCGTGCAGCCACTGTGTTAGTCTGTCTCATTGAGGCCTTGCTCTGTTTCACCGCCTCTCCACTTTACCAAACATGATGTCCCTCTCCAGGGACTGGTCTCTCCTGACAACATGTCCAAGGTATATATGCAAAGTCTTGCCATCCTTGCCTCAAAAGAGAACTCTGGCCAGACTTTTTACAAGACAGATTGGGTTGTCCTTTTAACAATCCATCCTATTTTCAGTATTCTTCGCCAGCACCACAATTGAAATGCATTGATTCTTCTTCAGTCTTTCTTAGTCAGTGCCCAACTTTCACATGCACGTGATGCAGTTGGAAATACCGTGGCTTGGGTCAGGCACACCTTAGTCCTCAAAGTAACATCCTTGTTTTTCAACACTCTAAAGACGTCATGTGCATCAGATCTACCCAATGAAATACATCTTTTGGTCTCTGCACGACTGCTTCCATTAGCATTGATGTAGATTCAAGCAAGGCAAAGTCTTTGACAACTATAACCATTCCTGATTTTTAAAAGTCATTTTATTTGGGGCTTATACAACTCTTATCACAATTCATACATACATCAATTGTATAAAGCACATTTGTACATTCATTACCCTCATCATTCTCAAAACATTTGCTCTCCATGTAAGCCCCTGGCATCAGCTCCTCATTTTCCCCCCTCCCTTATGAGCCCTTGATAATTTATACATTTCTACTTTGTCATATCTTACACTGTCCGACGTCTCCCTTCACCCACTTTTCTGTTGTCCTTCCCCAGGGAGAAGGTTATATATAGCCTTATAATTGGTTCCCCCTCTCTACCCCATCCTCCCTACACCCTCCCGGTATTGCCACTCTCACCACTGGTCCTGAAGGGTTCATCTGTCCTGGATTCTCTGCGTTTCCAGTTGCTATCTGTGTCAGTGTACATCCTCTGGACTAGCCAGATATGTAAGGTGGAATTGGGATCATGATAGTTGGGGGAGGAAGCATTTAAGAACTAGAGGAAAGTTGTATGTTTGATCATTGCTACCCTGCACCCTGATAGGCTCATCTCCCCACGACCCTACTGTAAGATGTCCAGTTGTCTACGGATGGAATTTGGCTCCCCACTCCAAACTCCCCCTCATTCACAATGATACGATTTTTTGTTCTTTGATGCCTGATACCTCATCCCTTCGACACCTTGTGGTCACATGCACTGGTGTGCTTCCATGTGGGCTTTGTTGCTTCTGAGCTACATGACCACTTGTTTCCATTCCTGATTTTAAGCCATGCTGTATTCCCTTGTTTTGTTTACATAATTACTTCCTGATCCTTGTACAAGTTCCACATGAGCACAATGAAGTGTTCTGGAATTCCCGTTCTTCTCAAGGCTATGCATGGTGTGTTATAATCCACACAGTTTAATACGGTGGCATAATTAGTAAAACACAAATAAACATCTGTTTTGGAATTCTGTGTTTTCAGCCAACCTCCATCTCACGTCAGCAGTGATATCAATATCCCTTTTCCACACCTTCTAAATCTGGCCTAAACCTCTGGCAGCTCCCTATCCATGTACTGCTGCAATGTTGTTGGATGATCTTCAGCAAAATTTCACTTGCATGTGATATCGGTGGTAATGTTCTATAGTTTGAGTTGGGGCATCTTTCTTTAGAATGGGCACAAATATGGGTCTGTTCTAGTCAGTTGGCCAAGTCTTCCAAATTTTCTGGCATAGATAAGTAAGTGCTTCTAGTGCTTCATCAGCTTGTTGAAATACTTCCATTGGTATTCCCCAGTTCTTGGAACGTGGTTTTTGTCTAATGTTTTCAGTGCAGCTTGAACTTCTTCAGCACCATGGATTCTTGCTCACATGCTGCCTCCTGAAATGCTGGAAGGTCAACTAATTCTTTTTGGTACAGTAACTATATTATTTCCATATTCTTTTGGTGCTTCCTGCGTCATTCAATACTTTCCCCATAGAATCTTTCACTATTGCAACTTGAGCACCTTATATTCAATTGCTTTTCAGCTCTCTTAAATTTATTGGTGTCTTTTTTTAATGGTACAGTTTGTGTTTTCTCTTTGTGAATGTACCATGCCTTACTCTCACTGCCATCATCATTTCTGACTCAGCAATCCTACATGACAGAGTAGAAAGGCCCCTGTGGATTTCTGAGACTGTAATCTACCAGAGTTGAAAACTCCAGGTGGTGCCTGGTGGTTTTGAACTGTTGACTTTGGATTTAGCAGCCCAATGCATAACCCCCTAATGCCACCAAGGCACCTTATACCATGTATCTAGTGGGTAGAATTGCCAGTGAAAAGATCTGCATCGGAGTTTTTTGTAAGGAAAGAAAATAACCTCAGATGTCAGCATTCCTGCTTTTGAGTACGCATCAACAGTTTATGTCTTCATGGACTTTATTCTCTTCATTAAGGTGTTGAATTTGAAGAAAATAAGTCTTTCACATTTCTCCCATCTGATATACATAGGTCACGTGGTCATATCCTAATATTGGTAATTTTTTCTTCTTTTTCCTTGATCTGTCTGGCTAGGCGTTTATTGATTTTGAGGCTTTTTTTTCTTTTGGGATTGAGTGGAGGAGCACTGTGGGGATTACTGAGTAAATCTTTTCTGAAAAGGGACTGTAGGTCAAGCAGGTTTGAAGAACGTGTGGTCTGTGGGTACTTGAAAGAGTGCATTCTGCTGTGAGTGTTCTGAGTGTTAATTGGGCCAGGTTGGATGATCCCATTTCCCAAATATTCTCTATCCTTTACCTACCTATTGTTTTGATTACTGAGACAATACTGTTTTAAGTTTTTACTGTCTTTGTGGAATTTCCTGTCTCTTTTCAATTAATTTTAGCATTCATATTTATTTATTCTTGGAGAGTTGACCCTTTCTCATAATAAAAAGAAACATCTTTTTATTCCCATTTATAATTTTTTTTATTCTGAGATATGCTTTGCCCACCTTTCTTTGATTAGTATAGCTTACCCCCATCATTTTACTCTTAAACTATCTATTTATACTTTAATTTATACTATTTATTTATTTATATATACCTTTACATTTATACTATTATTATTATTGGTTTTATTTTGTAGTCAACATTTGTTAAAACTTTTTGCTGAATTCTTACCAGCTTTTGTGGTCCTGGTACCGCCTTCTTTTGTGCCGTGCCACAGAGCGTGCTGTGTCACCAATGCTATGGTATTCCTGCCCTTTTTCTGTCTATCGAGCTTCCGACTAGTTCTTCCGGTTCACTCAAGTCTGGCAAATTCACAGCCGAAGAGACTGAATTTA